TTGCGATGAAAAGAAAAAAGAAAAAGGAGGGGGAGGGAGGAAAAAAAGGCGATGAAAAGAAGAGTTTGCACTAGTTCGGATATCAATTTGCCCTTCGATTACATCGAATAATTTAATTTAATATCGTAATGGGGCGGGCGTAACATACACCTTTCACCGAAGTTTATATAATTTAACAACGTTAATAATTATAATCCATAGTTCCAGAATTAATCCAATGTTTCCCGTTTAAAACGACAAATCATCCGATCAATTCCATAAATCTAAAACGATACCAATTTAATGAGTTCGACGGTACGTATAATTACATAGGCACGGCGTTTAAAACCATCAATTTTCGCGAAATCAATTAATAAAATGACACGTCAAAACGCGCGGCGTTATTACATCGCGATATCTCGATCTTAATGTGCGTGTCACATCCACGATGTAATTTGAAAAATTGTAATTACTATAAACGACGAGACGAGAAGACCGAGTTTTGACGCGAGACGACAAATCGATACAATCGTCCCACGTATCGTAAGAAACAATGTACAATTGTCCTTTCTGCAACTGTTTCTTTCCCATCCTCCCACCCATTCCCCCCCCTCCCCCAAATAAATCAATTATTGAACGCTCGAACACTTTTCGAGGCTCGTTAATTACACACTACTGTGTCGCATCGGCTCGCTCTCGAGGAAGCATTTATTACGTATAACACTCTTAACGAGAATACTTCGAAGAATACTTTGAAGAATCCATCGCGAAATTACGAGCGAAGAAAATTGATTTCAACTTGTGTAAACGTATAAGCGTTTCCAACAATCGGTTGTGCATTAACGCGATTCCATTATTAAATTAATCCTGAAATTTAAACGATCTCGCGTTTGGTGTCAAAAAGTACTCGATCATATTTCTATAATATCCTTTACGGTTTAAATCGTATCCGTTCTTCTTCTTTCTTCGAAGTGGAGCGCAATAGTTTTCCCCAGATGACCCATCGCTATCCAACTACGAATTACAATTAAAACGATACCTTGATTAGTAAGCTCGTGTATTATATAATTATTGACGATTCAGCCGAGTTTGCAGTATAAACGCAACATCCGCGCGGTTTTTGTTCCGTTTCGTGTTCTTGCGTACCCTCCACCCTGATATTTTCGTTCTTTCCACGGTTTCGAGACGTGCGCGGCATCCATCGTTTATTAGCTCGAAGGGACGGAAATGAGAGGACGATAATCTTTGAACCCCGTTGTGATTACAACGCGCGATAATTGCGCAAACCTAACACCTGGAAAACCAGTTTCTCGGCCACGATTTTGCGTCGATGAAATTCGGTTTCGATACGTACGCGCGAGAAGAAGAAGAGAGAGAGAGAGAGAGAGAGAGAATAAATTGCACTCTGCAATCACGAGCGAAAACCCCATTAATTCGAGTCGCGAATTAATTTCGCCCCTCTTCCCTAATTTGTTGCAAGACGATTCCTCCCGATAAGACGATCGATCGATCCACCGATCGATAAAATCATCAGCGATGGAACGCTGGATCCCGAAACCGGTTTTAAAACGCGTCAATCCTCTTCTACGCTTCTTAAAGGACATTTTTTCGATCCCTCTCTCCAGCAATTCAGCCTCGAAAACGAATTGCCATAAATTGCCAGCGAAGTATATGGGGGGAGGGAGAGATGGGCGCGTGTCGCGATAAAACTTTTATCCTTTATCATTCGTTCGCTCCCGTATCGAAATAAATCAATTTTCGCGGGAGCTGTCCACGGCTGATGGATAATTTGCGGCCGACGAGGCCGCGCGAGCCAGTCTCCCGAGAAAAATAACGCTACAGAACTCGTCGACAACGGCCGGTGTTTTCGAACCGGTGTGTGGAAAACTGGGTCGTTCCGAGGGGAGGGGAATGAAAACTCGTTTGCCCGTTCGATTAATTAAATATAACGCGCGTAAGATGCATCGATAACGACTCTTCTCCAAACGGGGGATGTTTTCGTATCCCCCCTCTGATGAAATACAAAAGTGTCTCTCGGCAAAAAAAGAAGGAGAGAGGAAAAAAAAAAAACGAAACTCTCTGCTCGAGTTCTCTGCTCGTTAGAGAGAGAGAGAGAGAGAGAATTCAATATTCGAAAAAATCGGGTTGTGTCGCGGAAAACCGTATCGAGGCAGTAATTAACTTTGGAAATAATCGAGATTCTGCCTTTTCACCGCCGATCCCATTCTCCTCTCCACATCGCGATCTTCTTCCAACTCCTCCTCTCCCTCTCTCTTTGCCTCAAATCGAATGGAAGATCCGGCGTTTTGTATCCATTGTCGCGTTGATTAATGCAATCCTGTACGAGCGCGGTTATAATAGTAAAGTTGTAATCGAACGAAGCGTGTGTGCATTATCGGCGGCGCGGGGGTATTCAAACGGGCCGATAAATGGGGGACGGTATGTGCGCGCGCGCGCGGTTCGACCGTGAGAATGGGAGGATGTTGATACAGCTGATAATTCAATAATTACCGTTTGGCCGCGTATATATAATGGCGGCGACGAAAGATTTCCAGAACTCTCGTCCTGCCCTTTCGTTCCTTCGTTCGCGATACAAAGCACGAATTGCACAGGATGGAGGAAGAGGGGGAGGAGGAGGGTATGGAGAATGGAGGTAACGAATGGAGGAAGGATCGAAAAGGGACGAAGAAACTTTTTCCACGAGGTTCATCAGGGATTCTCTGAATCACCTTTAAAAAAGGTCTCATAAAATATTCAATCGAGGATGGATATGAAAAAAGGAATGTTAATGAAGCGGCATGGAAATGGAGCTCTCCTCGGGGAGGTGGAAGGGAGGAGGCCGGCTGCCAAAAGACATGGAGATTAAAATCGGGTTGATCCCCGAGTGTTACACGCTACGCGTCTCCCTCTCTCTCTCTCTCTCTCTCTCCTCCCCTCCTCCCCTCCTCCTCGATCGATAGACTAAACATAATTAATCCTCCCAATTATCGGCATGTAAAACTCGACTGCCGTGGCCAACTAATTCCATTAACCCGCGCGCTTAAACGAGGCCGATTATCAGGGAGGAGGGGGCAGAAACTTGAAACGGGGCGCTCGTTAAGCGACGATAAGGGACCACCTCGCTTATGGTAGTTTGGACAAAATTCTCTTCGGCTGGTGCTGACACCAGAGGAGGAGAGGGGGGAGGGGGGGAGGGTTTAAAATCGATCCGCTCGATCGCGATACGATTGCCACACGCAAGATTTTCGATGATGGTTCGTAAAGACCTTTCATATCTTTCTCTCTCCGGTATTCAAATATTCGATCGATAAATCTTCATTCGGGAGGGAGGGGGGGCGGGGGAGGGATGGCAGGTTGGAGGGAAGCGAAATTAAGGATTTACTCGGCTATCGTTGTTCCACTCTTCGCCTCGAGGTCGCGCGTGGCGACCGCAAACGCTGTACACACGTGAACGTGAAGGAGGAGGAGGAGGAGGAGGAGGAGGGAATCGTTTGTTTCACTTTATACGCGTTTCGTCGAGGCAATAGTAGAGGGGGCAGGTCGAGATAATAGCGGAGCGAGGTCTGTTTCTCTTCTCTTCGAGGGGGGTGAGAAAAAGGCGGAGAGGGGAGAGGGGGAGAAGAGATGTAGAAGTGGTTGGAAGGGAAAAAAGCAGACCGTAAAGTGAAAATCGTAGCGGCACTGGTGACTGGTACAAATTTCATCCTCGCAACCAGGAATGCCAGAGCTCTCCGCTTTTCCGGAAATCAATATCCCGCGTCGCTGAAAAATCTGATGAACCTCTTTTCTCTCCGACTTCTTCTGCCTACGCTTTGGAATGCCACGGCTCTCTCGATTTTCTCGGCGAACATTCTCGGTTAAACACCGCGATCGTTTATACTTTGATTTTGGTCTCGACTTCTTCGTTTCGCTCCTTCCTCCCCCCCCCTTGAATTTTAATGATTTTTATCAGCAAGTTTCGCGAAAAATCTAACGACAAAACAATTGACGAACGAAAGAATTTCAACGAGAGAGAGAAACGTTTGAACGTTATTTCGGAAAATGAGGAAAAAAGGGGAAAATCGAAAGAGAAATTTCGACGAAAGAGGAAAGTATCCGGATGTGGATGCGGAAAAATGAACGGAGCAATGGCGAAAAGGCATGCGAATCTCATTTAAGATTCGTCTTAAGAACGATCCCCTTTCTTGCAGGACAAAGAGCATAGGCTGTTTGATACGATAAACGGTAAGGAGATTCTGTCCGTGGCGCGATAAGATGATGGACAAAGAGGGTGAATAATTTTCTTTCGCGTGGCCGCAAATAAGAAGAAATTTTGAGAAATTTTCTCACGGGGCAGGGCCACCGGTGCCGCGGTGGTAATACATTTAAATATCCTTTCTAGAAAAGGATCTACGTGAACCGAGTGCCGGTTGAATTTTTAGCGAGATTAAGTATTACCATTCCTCGTCCAAGGTGGAACAAATGACTGGCGTTAAGACGATAAAAATTCATTGGCGGCGTCTAAGGGCCCGGTTTTAGCAACGAAATTGGCACCGCGAACGCGTGAGATGTTTGCTAATTCGACCAACCTGCTCTTAAGACGGAATGTTAAATACAGGGCTTTCGATGGAATTTCCTGTCCCCTGCTCGCTTCCTCTCGTTGATGTTTCTGATTATGAAACAGAAACAGAGTAGATCTTCAACGGTGGTGTCACGGATATCAATTAGGTAAGAATGCTGGTGTAAAATCGTCTTCCCTATTTTTATACTCGTGCGTATAAATTCTCGATTGCGGGTAACCATATACGGTTGTATGGCGTAGCATCGCGTGAGATTTAAATTTTGATTTTAAAATCTGTCTATACGGAGATTATTCGCCCATTATTCCTCGTCCGAAATAATTCGAAAATTCGGAAAAATGTGGATCGTAATAGAGGAGAGGATTATACTGTTATTTTCGTTAAATTATACCTGCCTATCCTCAGTTGGGGAATGACAGATATAATCTCTTGTAAAATATAAAGATTGAAGTTTTCAATTACATGCCTGTTAACCCGGAGCATGTTACGTCACTTCCTTTGATGTCGATGCGGCCACCAATGTTCCTCGACAATTCCACGCGTAATTCCAGCTGGAACACGATCCTCTTGTCAATCACTCGAACGAAAAATTGAGCGAGCGATTGGATTGGTAAATAAAGGAATACCTACGGATAATAAATACGAATTTTTTGGTTTAAATATTCCGTGTTGATCGTACGCGATGTTATTCTTAAAAAAAAAAAAAGAAAGAAAAAAGATTATCGTCAAAATCGTATAATTTTGTTTGTTTCCACAGTTGTGACCGATTCGATGAAGGAACCAAGTTTCGATGGGGGATGAATAGGATGTTAATGCGCGACGAGCGGAAGTCGAAAAGCGAGAGAGTCGTGGCGACGGTTGAACGTCGAATCGACGCCTCGTTCCGAAACTGCGGCAAATTCTATACGTCAGAAACTTTTCTCGGGTAAACAAGACGCGTCGAACGAAAGTTGGTCGTTGGTTGTTTTATATATATATATATATTATTTTTTTTTTAAATGTGCCATTACATTGACGTGTCGTATTATCTTGGTCAGTTTCAAGGATAACCGAGGAAAACGAATAGCGTGTAAATCCGCACGAACGTCGTTGAATGGAAAGGACCTCGTGAAAGGAGATCCTCGTCAACGCGCGAATATTAAATAAATAACCACGTGTCGTGATAACGTCTCGTTGCATGCCCTTCGTCCGTTGGATAGCTCGAGCTCTCGTTAAAAGACTCGTTGCATGTGGCAAATTGGAAACTATAAATCGATCGCGAAATTAGAAAGGAATTACCGAGTGTAGGAAAAATCTCAATCTTCGAATAAACGTTCTCGCGTTTCGTTCTAATCATCCATAATGAATGCGCTGTTAACGACCATTAACCATCGAAAATGAAGGATTTAGAAGGGGTTCTGATTAAAAATCTGGAGAAACGATAAAATGTGCGCGATACCGAAGAACTGGTTTACGGATGAGTATTTTTTTTTTTTTTTTTTCGTGCTGGAATAAGCCGATGCGATTACGACAATCGATTAATTCTATCCAATTATATCTAGACACGGCGGAGAAATTACCAAGTGCTGCCATTGGGTGTGCGATTTTGTTGGGATTCGATGATTTATATCGCGAGCCGGCCAGATCTAATACCGCTTATTAACCGATCCCAAAGCATTACGACCTAGCGGCGCAACCACTCGGATGATCGCCAAGTTCCGTGCCTTATTTGCTTTATTTTCCAAGCCGCTTTTTACACGAAATCCACACCGTGTAGTTTACCCCGGCTGAATCGTCGATATTTCTTACGGTCATTGCCGTTTCACCGACGTATACGTCTTCATACGTCAACATTAGCGCGTTTAAAATATTCCCCGCTCGAAGAGAGCATTAATCGCGGCAACAACTGTCGATATCGATTCCCCATTAACGTCTCCCGAAACTAGCGCGTGTTTTTCTCCCTTTTCCTTTTTCCCTTTTGCTTCTACGAAATGTTAGATCGTCTTACAACTTCATCAACTTGCCACATAGTATACAGGACAGTCGGATAAAAATTGGATAGCACGTAACTTTTCCGCGAGCTGCTATCTTATTCGTCGAAACTTATTGTGAAAAATGGACAACCGATGATCATCGATGATCGATCGATTTCTTTCGCCGACCCAATAATATCCCCTTAGATTAGTCGGAGATCCCTTCGGGCCAAGTGTCGAGAACACACTTTCGAAGAAGCGTTATCACGTTCGATGATAAGCCGATATCTCTCGATCAGTTGCGATCAAACGTGATATCCCCGCCCTCCCCCCTCCCCCCACTCCCTCACCGACTACAGTTTTAATCTTCCGTAAAAGCGCGTCTCCGCCGCGTCTCCACCACACTTTGTACACGACATGCTAATACCGAAGAAAGCAGGATCACCGTGACGCATCGGCGTAGCAGCGACCCTGCCAGTTTCTATCCTGCGTAACCAGATCACGAAGGAAGGAGAGCGCGAGTTAGAGGGCACGATCGAGGGAGGAGCACTCGGTCGAAGAAGAAGGAAGAAAGAAGAAGGCAGGCGGGGAGGTGGAATAGCTTAGGCAAGAAGCATCGCGCCGCCTCGAGGTAAGCAGGTGCGCAACATCCTATCCTTGCCTCTCTCTTCTGAGCTGTTGCTGCTGATGCTGCTTGCCTCTCCTCTTCCCTTTTGTCTCCTCTTCCTCGCTCACGGCAAGGTTTCTCCCCTTTCGAACAGTGACCTTCTTCTCTCGCGGCTTTCTCCATATCCTCTGCTACCGCTCGCTCTCTTCCCCTCCCTCCCCCCTATCTCTCTCTCTTCGTGTGTTTGCGCAGTACACACGCACGTAAAATCGTGAAGGTATCGCAGCGCGAAACGGTACGTTCCGTCGGAGGAACGGTTAAATCGCGATCGTAGCTTTTAATCGTTGTTGGATACGTAATGTTTAACGGAGGATTGATTTTTCTTCCCTTTTTCCTCGTATTTCTTTCATCCATTCCGGGACGGTGGAAATAGTGGGCGACGAGAATTGGTTCAGAGGGCGGGCGGGTGGAAAATGGAAAAGTGGTGAAACGGTTATTGGAGGACGCAGGTCGCGTTATGGCGTTAAATAAAATAGTGAACCGCGCGGAAATAAATAAAGAAACACGGTTTATGCACGGCCAATTGCACTTCTGAAACCGCGAAACTGATTTACGCGGTGGCGCAGGTGTTTTGCAATTATTGTTATTTAACAGGGTGGGGGGTAGTCCGGTTAATTTGCAGCGGATTTTCCACGACGTTTGAAAAACGTCAGTTGCAATAAATATGTAAGTGTATATTCGTAAATTGTTTAGGAACGATTTGATCCATCCAAGTGGCCGATCTTTGCGAGAAATTTCGACGTTTGGAGGGAAATCACGAGGTATTTCGAAGAATACAGGGTTTCAAGTAGATCACATGGCTGTGATAATGGTGGCTTACGGCAGCGTGAAAGGACAGCTCGTTTTCAAAGGGAACGTTTTCAAGGTCCGGCCCAGAGAGTAGTTTTAAATATGGTTCATACTGGACTCGTCTAGACTCGGAGAGTTTCCACGATCCTTTAACGATCTACGAAACGATCCTTCCCTCCTGAAAATAGAAGAATTAATAACTGCGATAAAATTCCGGCCAAAACTGTTGCTCTTTTCTTTCCTTCCCTTTTTTTTAATCTTAGAAGAAATTAATTCGTATTCCTCGAAAAACGAATGAAACGAAGATGGGAAAAGTTATCTTGGAAAAATTGTCCATTGTGATCGGAGTTGGGGACGAATAAATCGAATTATCGCGAAACACGATAATTACAGGATTGTTGCTAATTAGGCTGCTCGGTTGGGAGATAAAGAGAGATCGAACGATACGATACGATTCGCAAGGACTCGAGCGGAATCAGGCTTGGAGATCGTTAAAGGCTTTTTAAACCCCGTGTACCCCGTGAATGCAAGTGGAATATTATCGGGACACGTTCCACCCAAAACTCGGACGTTCCGGAAAGTTACGATATATATATATATATATATATATATATATATATATATATATATATATATATATA